ATACATACAGACACACCAAACTTGTGGATTATATATAGAGAGATTGCAGCCATCACCCTCAACTAGACGACGTCCGGGAATCCGGGGGTGGTTAAATTAAGAGCAGATAGGCGAAGTCGAGAAGTCCAGATGAGATTTTGAGTAGCAATGAAACACTCATGCAACCCTCATTCCCATAGGTGATTCAGAAAACAGCAAACTGAATATCTCGGCGGATTCCTTACATTAACTTTTCAGATTTTTCTTCGAACGAATCTTCTTCTTTCATCCCAGAACAATCGCGACTCATGCTTACATTGAGCCATATTTCTGGCAGGCCTTCACTTTGAAAGAAGTACGGAAAGGATCGTTGCAGCGTTTCTCAGAGAATCTTTTCACAATTGGTTCTTGTTGTTTGTCGCCACCAAGCTTAGCCTTGGATCAGTATTTGACTTTTAATACAAGACCAACCTGTCAATGGTCTTGCAACAGTGACTGTTACTACACGTACAACAGATTCACGTATCGCACCACGCAAATGACGTTTAAATGATTGGTGATCCGTCAGATCCTGAATAGTAGCCAGTAATCGGTCAGGTTTTATTAATTGGGACAAAGCACACCTTCTCGTCAAGATTTTCGTTTTCTGGTTTGCCTCCAATCTCAGGATAGTACGTGTCGATGTACTGAAATTAAGAATGAATAGAGAATAGAAAATAATGCAATAAGAAAATATCGGCTGATTGACCTTTTTTGTTTTATAGGACGTGATTCCCTGAAGAATGAGAGAGCACACGGCGGAATCAATGCCAGTGAACAACACCCCCAATCCGCGAGCGTGTGCCAGTTGATTAGCTGGAGTATTGAAGATCGATATAATTTAAAACTGCACAACTGTGTGTGTCATATATCTAACAAAACATATATAATTAGGAGCATGGAATGCCTCGAGATTTGCTGCAGTGAACAACAGAACGGCAAGTAGTGGAGTAAAAGGCCTACTAAGGATTTGTTAGTTTCGCTACTGACAGTCGCTTGTGGCGACAACGATTTCATATCCGCTTGAGCGGGCGGAACCTTGGCCTCTGATGAAGAAGACGAAAAGGTCGAAACGTTAGGCCGTTAACTAATAAATTGTTCCACCTAATAACCTCGCACGGCACAGAATATTGCAATCATAAACAACCTACTAAGGTTATTTAGAGTGGAAGATTTGAAGAACGCAGCATACTCTAGGAATTTCGTAAGCTCATCCTTCGTTCTTAGCTATTTATTTATATTTCCCATTGCACTAACAAGGCCAACAGAGTCGATCGAGGTTTACTTCTTGACTTTCCTTATGCGGAGAAAACTTCGAATAGAACTACTTACCATAACTGAACACGTTGGGAAGAAAATAGGCATTACGACCAGCAACGATGAGCGTTTTTCCGGTTGATAATGGGAACGGTTCGTATCCCAGCTGGTTAAGTGTCCTCACACATGTGAGAGGGTATGTAACACTCGAAAGAAGCACTCTTGCAGCTAGATTTTTTGCCACAATTTCCTGAAGAATTTTTAAAATTCGCTATAGGTAGTATGAAAAATGTAATGATAGAATTGTACAAAACCACAGCCACAGAGCGGGAAGTATTAAAACGCTCACTTCTTCTTCATTGAGTCCAAGAAACTGATCACGAGCCGCCATACCTAGCAAATTGAGAATGTTAAGTCTTTGCACAGTCGATATGCAAATCAAAGTATTCAAAGATGAATACAACATTAAAAGCCAATGCATGGGAATATAATAAAATTTTTATGCAAATAAACGTCAAAACCGTATCAACTAATCCATGAGGAGACAATTTATCGATTTACAATCCCTCAAAAGAAAATTTATGTTAGGAATATAATTTCATCAACAGTTCCTGGAACAAACCACGTACCACAATCGAATGAAAGATTATGTGTAAAACAGAAAACGATTCAGCAAAACTCTGTGCTACGGAAAGGAACCATCTTGCGGTTAACTGAACATAGGCCTTACAATACGCAGTATTTCCTTCTCTAGCTGGAAAAGCGGAGCCTTTGGAATATAAGGTATGGGGACAGTCATAGGTTCGTAAGCGGAGAACATCAGCACGAAGTCGCCCTCTCCATAAACGGCTTCACCATACTGAAAACGGTGTATTTTTCGTAGGCAACAAATCAACAAGTTCTGGTATCTCATCAAAATCTCTTCAAAATCTTGAATTCGAAAGCTAGGAGGAGCATGTAGTTCGCCAATACAGTCAATATTTGTAAAGTGTTCTTCTCAGTGAATCTCAAGCGTGCGAAAGAAAAAGAACCTCTTTTTGGAGTTCAGTGAATGTGATACAATCTTCTATGTAGACACGTCCCAGGATGCTTGCAGAAGAATAGTCAATTTGATTGCCTGGCGAGACTCCTGAAGTTATTAGCTGGTGGGTCCTCCATGTGTCATTTACATATCAACACTTCCAAAGAAAAGAACATCAAAGTGAACGAACCAGAGCAATATTTTTCAATAAAATCTTTCACATCTGAACTGCAGGTTGATGACACTGTGGAGCAAATAAAAACTGGGCCTTTCAAGTGAATATCTTCCAGCCATCTCATAATATCTTCCAGCCATCTCATATACCTATAAAAAATTCGTTCAATCGAGCACTTCTTTTAGATTCCTTTCACTTGTTTCGAGAAATAAAGGACGTGAACGTTACATTTCTTCCCCCGAATGAGTTTATATAATCTTTAACGCCCAACTTGATACCATATACCATTAATTAAGAGCATATGGTCCCCGTACCACTGGAATGTTTGGTCCGTGATGAGGACAAAATCGAAGCGAAAGGCGAAACAGCATTGGAGAACTCATTAGCTAGCCTTGGTTCATAGAAGAAGCAAATATGGATGTATGACACCGGAGTTCTAACAGTAGGGGAAATGAGGATAAGAAAAGTTGAGACCCTCAGTGGCGAAAATTCCGCATGCTCTCATAAATAACGAACAATCCTACTATACCAATTAATCCATGTAAAGTCAAGAAAATACATATATATATTTATTTAATCACAAACAACATACCTAATGAAACCACATGCAGCTAAAGAGGCACAGGGCTGTGGAACTGAAATAGTATATCCTCGCCGTTCAACCTCAAGTATTCCAAGCTCCTCATTCATAACACATAATGCATCTACATCAGCAAACTCGTCTGCATTCGATTCGAATCGTGCCCCCAAGTTTTCGTCGTACTGAAATGAAACCATTCCCTTGATGACAAACTTCTATGTACTAAATATATGTACTTTCTGAACCACTAATTTCTGTTTGCTTCACATTTTTGAGGCATCGGGATGTTTTTATCAGACCAACATGTTGAACTTGTCAGGAAAACTGCAGGAATTGGAAACAGACAAAGCATTTTCTACCATCCCAACCCAAAAAACTTTATAACTTGGGGTTACATGGGCGCAATTCTCATTTGGGGCAGTCGTTGGCTGTTGGTCACTGTTAGAGAACGTAAAAAAAGCAGAAACTATGAACCACAAGATTTTCTTGAATTGCGGTTGTCCCACGCCTCAGAAACATCTTCAGGGAAAACCAAACCTTGAATCAGCGAACGTCAACCATCTCTCACAATTCGGAATGAACAATTATCAATCACCTCTCTGTGTGAACGCTTCTATTATCACTTAAAACACCGAACTAACCTTCGGGACGAAATCTTTAGGAATCCAGTGAGCATCCACAGCCGAATTTCGTGCAGCGTCAGCGGCGCGACGTCTCTCTTCAGACTTTTCAAGAATGGATTCAATCACTGGATCGCAGCTCTGATTCGAGCCAACATCCGGGATCTACAGAACAGAATCGCATCAGTTGTTAAGAATCTTTCCCTGGATTTATCGATATTGACAGCTTCTACCAAACTAAATGCAAGCTGTAAGAAAGCCTCAGTGACCCATCATTTGTATGATAACTAGCGAACTAAATCGCCTCACAGTAAATACTCAACAATAAGGCTTGAAAACATAATACTTACTCCTTCGCTGACCGTTACATCAGAAACATTGAGATTGATAACAATGTTTCTTTTGCGTCTTTCCTTAATTTCTTGCAATTCCAAACGACGCTGTATAATTGCTTGGCGTTCCTTGAAGAAGAAAGTTAGTCGAAAAAATCTCTGAAATTCATGGTGATGCCAACCTCTGCTGTCAAATAGGGACTGTTTTCGATGCTTGAGTAGTCGCTCTCCAAATCATTAACCTTTGTGCGTCGTTCCCTTTAATTGGGAATCGTCAAAGCACGTACACTAGATCAAACATTAGAAACAAATGTTTATTCAATCAAACTATGTAGTAACTGCACCCTTGTGATCAGTTCACCTTCAGTTGCGCTTGTAACTTAGCAAAGAATTTCCCCGATTCTAAGTACGCGCTATGTTGCATATGAGACAAAATGAAAAAAGTTTTCCATATGAGGTTCTACATNATTATAATAAACTCTACACTTGCTTATGAGCAGTGCACGAGCTAGAGATCGACTGAGACGAAAAATGGTTGGTTGGCGATGTTGCATGATACGGCAAACTGAGTGCAAACTAATTAGTTTCTACATTACCTCTCACATTTCCCTCGTGAACATCTTTCATTAGTGCTTCACAGTAGTTGAACCTGTCCTAAAACGCATTCCCACAATTTTACTCCTGACGTCCAAAGGTTTCTCCAGTTTCTACGCATCTCACACTCTGCACCAATTCGGGAGCTTAGCCCATCAAATCACAAAGTAACTCGATTAGGAAAAAAGAAAGATAACAAAGCAAAGGAATAAAACATTACGAGTCAGCATCGGCAGCCAGAAGTTTGTTCCGGAACTGTGTGGCCTTTTGGAATTCAGCTCCAACAGTTGATAGAGATAACTCCTTGAAGTTACTGTTCTTTCCTTTCATTGTTCCCATCAACTGGGAGTAAAGTTCGGCGCTTTTTCGGGAACCGCGATCCAAGATCTGAAGTATCCTTTTCTCAAAAATGTCTAGAACAACATCTACCCCATTGAATCAAAGATCAGCAGAGCCAAATCTCTCATTACAATACACCAATTGTGCTTGACAATCACCTCTTTTTCCTCTTTGGTGCAGACAAGAGTACCGCAGAAAAAACATGGTCCACTACCTTCCTGAACACATACTATCTTTCCACAACCCATACAGTTCCTGACGAGGGCATGAATTCGAGCTTGGCAGTTGCAAGGATGACGCCCTGCAACAAACTCAGTTTCGGTCACTAATATCACTCACATCCGTGAAAAACCGAGAAACAAAAAAAGTTCAAAGCACTCACCTGGCAGAAGTTGATCTCCAATGGCGGACTCTGCCTTCACTGCTAGGGTATTCAGTCGATTTGCCACTCCTCCAGCTGCACCGCCACGGTTGCTAGGATTACCTTTCCGATCCTTGCGATGACCCATATTGATTGCCTTCAAGTATAAGAATCAGGAATGCCATACACTGGTATGTAAAGGGCAATCAGAGATCGCATCTAGTTCAGAAGCACAGATTAAAGACAGATCATCGCTACAGGTCCAATTCCGCCACCAAGGGTTTAAGGAAAGAAATGTCAAAAACTGAGTCGGTCAGATGGACGGATTAAAGGGTAACAAAAAAACGACGGAACTGGATGAAGCCCCTTGAAAAACTTTCACTGACCTTGAACTCGGAATCCTTACCTTCTCCATTCAAAACCCAATTCATATCCAGTTTCCACCATCATTCTCTCCGTTCTTTCGCTCTAATAGCCCAGTCACTAGATGTTTTGCATCCCACCCCTTTCATTCATTATACTATTGCACAGGTTCTTCAGCAAATGAGTCTTCTTCCCCTGTTTTCTACTAGTCGCGTCGAGCCAATACGCCGTCGCAAGAAATAAACAAGATGATAGCATCACTTTAAACGATGTGGCAGGACCAGTAAACATGAATGACTTGAGAACTCCTAATTTCCATAGCTGACGTCATTCCTGATAAAACTTGCATGTGGACAGACACACAATAAAGTGACAAGCAGAACTACTTCTCATCAAAGAATCGCCCATCTTTTGAACAGGCCCTGTATGGTCTTAGAGGATTAAGCATACAACTGGGAACTGAGAAAGTGGGAAGGATGTGAAGAACACTGCACTAGTTCAAGCTAGAAATGATTAAGTAGAAAAGAAAGTTCACATAATCGATGAAGAATACTCAGCTTCGCCGTAGAACATGCCGTCAATGATGCCGCGTTATCTGCGTTCCGCACATCTTACACGCAATTTACAGCTACAGTGTTTCGCAATGAGTTGTTAATCACTACAGGTGCTATACTGTTTTGATTTAAGTCCCTGATAATGCAGCCTACAGGGATCTTCTTCACAAAGGTTCCCTCCCGCTGGCTGCGTGGCGCGACCCCAGGTGCCAGAGCAAATCACGGACCAAAAGTCACCGGCGCTTACCAAGAGACGCAGGTAAACTAACAAGGGAAGGATCCCAAGTCGAAGTGGCCATTTGAATTAAGACCTTCACTGTCAAACGTATTTTTTGATGCTGATTTCGAATCTGCATTCAAAATCTGCCAAACGANTCTCTGAACGAAGTTGTGGAGGTGGTCTCCGGAGAGTGCTCAACACCGGCAGACCAGTAGTGGCGGCTTAGAGTAGAAGTAAGCGTGGCGCTTTAAGGGCATAGGACCAAGGATCGGGTTTTGTGGGCAACGGCATTTTTGCATCTTGCAGGACTTTTTCCTCCATGTTGTAAAAATCTTTTTATGCTACTTTTACCGCCTTCGGCAACTTTCTGAATGCTTGAGGTGAATCAGTTCCTGCCAAAATGGTCTTCCACTGCCCAATGATATCTACTGGTTTTTGGAAAAGGTGGGGGTTGGGGTCAGCTTTCAAAAAAGGTAGGTGTTGCCGCGTGGCGAACGCGGCAAAGTGTGGTATATATGGATGGGTGTAACATGAAGAACAAGGAGTATGTTCTGCCCAGAGTTGGTAGTATCGCACCTTTTGAAGAAGTCCGGATCCTGTGATGTCGAATGCGCCCCTACAAGCAAGGAGCAGAAGTTAATAGATAGTTTCTCCTCTATCTTGCTGAATGCCACTCACAAAGACCTTGTCGTGGCTTCCNGCAGTGTGTCTTCATCGATCGTCGTAGCCGGCCGCCACCGTCCGTCGTCCAGTCGTCGTACCGCTCGAGCCTGGAAGTATGATGCAATCCGATGGAAGCTGAAGTGATCGACTTGGGCATGGAAGCCCAAAGGTGCCGAGCGGTCCCGAGCCACGTCGCCTCCCCTCGTGAGATTAACGCACTGGGTTCGTACCCCCTGAGACGTAGGTTGCTGGTTTTCATCGTAGTTTATTTGCTGACGTATTTCATATTCCTTCTTTATGTATATATGTATATAACAGGCATTCCTTTTTTAATAATTCTTTTCATTGTCGTTTGATGTTTCCTTATTTACTGGCGTATCCATGAAGACTGCGTACAGTATTGTGTTAGTGGTTTAAGATCGTAGACGGTGATGCCGTGAAAGTTATATCTGGATTGAATGTCAAGGATAGGCTGTGGCAGGTTATCCCGGGGCGTAGGAAGTAGCACGCGTAGGGTAGAGGTAGGAGTGCAGGGATAGCGTAGGGGCCGCTAGGGCCAAAGCAATATCCCGCGTGGCAAAGGGGGCGAGAGCGAGCGCAGCGTAAGACCCCGATCAGGCAATCACGCCGACGGCGACGCCGCTCCTAAGCGGCCGACACCGATGCCAACGTATAGCGAGGAGCAAGGCGTCGTCGCCGGCGCGACAGACCTCGATATTGAGTGCGAATAAAACTGCGTGATTGAGGACGAGAAGGTTCATCTACTGTGGGAATCCGATGATGAAGAGGAAACAGCAAGCACATTTAGAGGGCCGTTGATGTTTGCTAATGTGAAAGTGTCCAAAGAACAGGTACAGATTCTTCTTCCCAGGGCATTTACTGGAGCGAGATAACCAAACAAATCCAGGTGGAGAGTACTATCAGATTCTATCAGTCAAGCGCAAAAAGATGCCGTTCGCTGAATGTAATTGATTTTTGTAATGTTGGTGGTCGGAGTAGATGTCAGACAGTTTAATAGGAACTTGTTCACCTCAAGTATCAAAAAATCGCCGAAGACGGTAAAACTAACATAAACAAGTTCTCACAACCTGGAGAAAAAAGTCCTGCAAGCTGCAAAAACGCAGTCGCCCCACCAAAGCCGATCCTCGGCCCCACTATAAAGCGTTACGCTTACTCTACTCCATGCCGCCACTGCTGGTCTGCCGACGACCATGTATTTTGTGCTTTCTCCTGTTGAGCGCTCTCCGGAGACCACCTCCACAAATTCGTTCAGAGAATCGTTTGGCAGATTTTGAATGCAGATTTGAAATCAGCATCAAAAAACACGTCTAGCAGTATAGGTCTCATTTCAAATGGCCACTTCGACTTGGGATCCTTCCCTCGTAAGATGAACTCTTTCTTCTGTTGGGCCGGGTCGGTTCGTACTGTCTGTCTTCTAGGTGGTGAATCCATCCATGCGTAAGTGGAGATCCTAATTGTAAAAAGTCAGATTTTAACGTCTCGTGAATATGTGGTCCTTAATCCCCTCCCCCATACGGAAGGCAAATCAAGGCCGCCTCTGGCAACTGTGCCCCTTGTCCACTCTGAGGTGACCTGGAGAGCTACCAGTAGTCTTCTTCCCAGCCTTCCCCCCACCTCCTGTCAAAGCCTGGCAAGTTGGGCGTGGGTACCGATATGTAAAAACAGTAATATAAGTAGGTTTCATTCCCCGAAACTGAGGGACAGCTTTGGGTAGGACATCTCAAGTTAGGCTGCTGAATTTTCGGTGTCATAGCAGGTTGCCCAAAAGGGGAAGGAGCAAAATGGCGATCTGCACTTTCTCCGCACAAACGATTGCATCGAAAGCATGTATCGAAGATCTGATGATGCAAGCTAGGAGGATCAAAACCGACTCAACCTTGCTGACTAGGACGAGAATGCACTACAAGTTTCGAGGGTGGGCAAGTACTAACCCTTGAGAGAATCGACAGCAGAGGCGTCGGAGGTGCAGGTGTCCTCGTCAATAGCCATTTTCCTTCAAAATCCTTCCCTACGAAATTCGACGATCCGAACTGGATGTTTGTGCTAAAGAAGATAACCCAGCTCTGATAATCTTCGTTGCCTAGCATCGACATCAAGTTACGAAGAAGAGGAATTGTACTGTGTGAACACTGAAAAGCTCTTGAGGGAAAAACACGCTTATTCAAGGTCATCCTCGGTGACTTCAACGTCAAGACTAATCCAAAAGAACCGCCAAAGAGCTCGGGACTCATCGAACGACTGCCCGAGTTTATCACGTCTATCTACACCATCCACGGCGATTTACAGTTTACAGTCGGAATAATAAAAACATTAGGCTTACTGAAGTCACTGATGTATCGAAGTTTTACATGAGATCTGACCATCGTCTCATTCGTGCTAAATTCTGTTCAGGGTGTGGAGAGAAACGCGAAGTTCAGGAAACGAAGCCTCTAGGCTATGCCTCTTTAAGATTACTTCGCTTTTTTGAGAGTTTGTGGGGAGATTCCGTTATCGACAAAATCGATGAAACATCTTCGCGATGGTACTATTAAAGTAGAGGGTGTACANCCCGAGTTTATCACGTCTATCTACACCATCCACGGCGATTTACAGTTTACAGTCGGAATAACAAAAACATTAGGCTTACTGAAGTCACTGTTGTATCGAAGTTTTACTACTTCGCTTTTTTGAGAGTTTATGGGGAGATTCCGTTATCGACAAAATCGATGAAACATCTTCGCGATGGTACTATTAAAGTAGAGGGTGTACAAGATGCCAAGGGACGGTGCCGCGGGAATGCAAAATGTCCACATGATGGAAAACTAGCAAAACCGTATTGCTGTATAAGAAGGGAGATGCAGACGATGTTGGCTACTGTATATAGCCCGATCTGCCTAATGTCTGTGTACAAACTTTTCACACGAGTCATCTTAAACAGGATTGATAGAATATTGGATAAAGTATAGTCATGCCAGCAAGCATGGCATGACTGTCCTCCATGAGGGAATTTAGTGTAATTGACCACATCCAGTGTCAGACTAAGACTCACTGAAGTTTTGCGAGAGATCAGGATGCCGTTATGTCTGACTTCTATCAATTCGGAAAAGGCCTTTGTATCGTAGAAAAAGAATTGGTTATGAAACCCTTAAGCAGCCACGGTTTTCCTATTCAATATATAAGGATGCTTTGTTAGCTCTACGACAACTTCATGACCAGAATTTTGAATTTCCATAAGGAAGTCGTCGGTTGCCAACAGGAGGAAAAGGGGGGGGGGGGGGGGAGGGTTCAGCTGGGCGATGCTCAAACTTTTCAAGGTCCTCCTAAGGAGCATCATGCGTCATTTGGAATAGGAAGACTTGAGAATGAACATGACGGCCGCCACTTACATCATCTCCGTTTTGCAGACAATGTCGTGCTCGTAACAACGAACACCGAGCGGAGATAATGCAGGCTGAATTTGACGTTTGTGGAAGGACTGCTCGGCAACAGAATCTATCAAAAACAATGTCCAATGTAGAACGGATTTGTACCTTGAGCTCACTTCACGTTGAAAGGGTTTCATATCTCTGAGTGTTCCAGATAGATGTACCTCATGCGAGAAGTCTACATGATGAACGAGCTAGTTCCGGAGCTGAGCAGAAGGAAACGCTCGGCGTGAGAAGCATTAATAATATGGAGGTATAAGCGTTGAAAACAAAGAATATCTTGCTCAACAATGCAGTTGTTCTACTTCATTTTACGCCTTGAGGACTTGGACTCAACTAAAACAGGATGAACATGCAATCCGCGTCATTAAACGCGATCCTGGCGACTGCCTGACTCGTTGAGTCTGAGGCTTATAGACCATTTTGCGATACATTCAGCATCTAACACATAACAAGAATATTTTCATCAGAATGAACTCCAATCCTCACCATAAACAGCAACACCAATTCAAGTTGTAGAGATCTCATTTATTTAGAGAGGTAACAATACACGTCCTTACATAGAATGAGAACACTGGGATGGGTAAGTTCAATGCTCTTGCATAACAGTGAATGTGTGTGTACGTTCCACATCTTCAATGTTTCGACGCGCTTCAAGCTGAAGAGTAACAGCGGCCAGGAAACCGGGTATGGAGTGCCGCTCCCCGATATACCTTAACGATGCAATTTACGACTAAGAAAAAGGAAGATGGTATCATTCGCTACGTACTTCTGCATTTCTTCTTCCCAAGGACGACCTTGTGAAAGGGAGTCTTGACTGACATCGAGAAGGTCGACAATCCCGCTTTCGGTATTGAACTTAAGGAAAAATTCAGCGAATTCAGGTAGAGAAACATACAATACACAAGAATTCATGAACATTACTCACTTTGAATACAAACTGTTTCTCTGTTTCATCGTAAACACTGTTGACGTAGCAAATTCCTTCATCGGCATCCTTCAGCTTGATCTGGTAACCTGTCAGGGTTGTTGTAATTTCTCTGAAAAAAATCGGTCTTCAAATGAAGAAAAGGAAGAAAAGCCCTTGTAGGAGGTTTCTCTGATGCAATTTCTCTCAAATGTTTATTTTGCTAATTTTTCGACACAATTACAAGGCCATATAAAGATTGCGCGTTGTAGAAGATAGCGAGATACAATGTTAACCATATAAGAGAGAGGAGCCACTCTCCCTCTTCTCATATGGTNNNNCCTACTGTTGGTCTTCGATGAAAAGTATATATTGCAGTCCTTTACAGCCGAATCTTGAAAGACGGTGGTTTGGAAATCCTTCCATGGCTATTCTTATGCAGCCTCCTCCTGTGACGTATAAGATTCATCACAAAAAGACGGGATTACGTAGCAGTCACTACGATTCATTTCATTTCGATCCGTCAAGGAGTGTTCAAAATGAGTCGTCATTAGAATTAAACATTGCTGTGCATCGAAGCTCAACGATTTGCTGATTTTTTACTTCATGAGTAATCCTCGAAGAGACGAAGCTATAGTCCTTTGCGATCACCATCGCCACCACCATTCAGTTCCTTTCGAATATTTTTTTCGATTTAGATTAACAAAAGGGAGTTGGGAGTATAATTGAAAATGACTGATGAATCGGTCTTTGATGAGCTTCTACTGATACCGCGTTCAATGATCAACCAAAGAATTAATGTTTTTGAACAATTTTTTCAACAAACCCTGGCTAAAAACCCAGAAGCGTTAATGCTCGTACGTCCACAAAGTAATGACTAGGGGGAATGGGTGGGGTAATGACTTTACCACGGGTCTGCCACTTCTAATCACTAAGATATCGATGAAACGACCTTGAGAAATTGAATCCTTATCTGATACATCAATAACGCCTTTGTTCAAGTTGCGTGAGAAGACTTGGCAGCAATTGTAACATGCTCTCCAAACAGCGAGTCCCTTTCGAGAGCTTGGCAAAATAGGTGTACACAGAGAAACGCTACGGAAACTGTCACGATCCACAATTCGTCGCTATCATTAGGAGGAACACGCCAAATAACAGAAGAAGATGGCGAAGAGGTCGAATTTTCGGAACACAAAATCAGGAGGGCCAACGAATGCAGCCGAGAACACATTCTTTTCCGTAGGATAATGAGAAGGAAGCACGCGCGAAGGACTGCAATGGCTTTCTGGTTCAGGCGCGCAAGAACAGAACGCTAGGACGGTCACATGAGGCTGTTTACTGTGAAAGCAGCCCGCGATTCCCAAAACAACAGTATTGAATAAACTCTTACAGAAGCTAACACTAGAGCAAAATCCCACACTCTTTTCAATCCTAATTAGAGCAGCTAGGAATGTCACGAGCACAATTTTTTCTGTATGTCAAGTGCAAGGGCTCGTTAAAAGATTAGCTGTTTTAGGACAAAAGTTTTATCAGAAGAAATACTGGACGTTCGAGACAGTGCGCCAGACATAAAACTGAGGTTGGTGTCGAGAGAGGCTGGTTTCATTCATTTCCATGCGCTTTTGAGAAAACATGAAAAAAAAACTCAAACCGTCGGACTGAATACCTACCCTAAAACTAGTGTCGACTCTGAAGCGTTATAGGCAACACAAATTATGGAACGCCCTCCTGTGTTCCACCAGGCGCCATGGAAACTTGTCCTTGATGACTTATTTGGAACTTCCAAATAGATTTTCAACGACTACAGGCCACACCGCGCTGGGAACGAGTATGGACATGAAGAGATAAGATATTCACAAGTTGAGGTGTAATGATCTTGAATAATAGGCAACGGAAGTTACATATGAGCGTGAGACAGTGGACGTTACAAATTATCAGCCATAGAATCCTGTACTATACGCGAACAGGATGATACAGGAGGAGAGCAACACCTTAAGTCGAGCTACCCTGCTCCCGTTCATTACAAAAGTCGATGCCCTGCTATTTGTCGAAAAAAAGGTGGGGGTGGGGGGAGAACTTGAGATGTGGGACAAGCGCAGAGTTCAGCTAGACCATGACACAGCAGTCAAATATCTTTAGTTCTGGTAGACTTGTGTAAACTCGAAGGCTTGTAAACTTGTGGAGAAGAAGCTATCGCACTGACTGGCATCTCTTCAAGTTTCCAAACAACTATGTGTATTCTGCCCTAATTTCACGTCATGAGACCTATATGCACAATCACGCAACACGCAGAGCGCAATAATATGCATTACTACAAAATCTCAATTTATTATTGAAAAGTGAAAATCTATAACATAAGGACCTGTATTTCTTGGCAAGATCTTTTTGAAGCCGGATAGTCTGCTCCTTTTCGCGTTCACTCTTCTTCAACTGAGCTTCTAATGCGCTAATATGTTCTTCCCTTGCGCGTTTTGCCTCGCTTGGTTCTCCGCCGTCGAAAGTCGTTTCCTAAACAAATTTTGCGTTCTGCTGGATTAGTTTCCGAGGCACTAATTATTTCTCTCTGTTTCTAGGTGCTGAGCAAATGGACCTTGTCAGTTAATGAAAGCAATCACCCAAACTTATCGAAACGCGACGCAGTTAATGCAATACATAAATTTCTAGGTCATTTAGCCAGAGTGAGATGTAGGTGTAAATAGAGTTCCGTAAAGTTGTTTCAGCATTAACTGCAAGCAAAAACGATGTAAAATGTTAGATTTCTTTGAAGTTTAGCTTCTATGTTGGTTTCGGCACAGATGCAGAAAAAGCTGCAATTATTAAAATTACTTCAGCTCTACAGATAAGGAATAGTCAACATACCGCCTTTCGCTTTCGAAGACGCTCTTTTTCAGCTTCACTATAGGCATCTACGGCACACTGCAAAGGATTGTTGCGTAAGTGGATGATCTGAGTTTCATCTCCAGCGTCGGTGGGCTCACGACTCGCGTTCCGTAACTGGACTTCCAAGTGCGCCGTTTTCGACTGAGCCTTGAGAGCCACTTATTACAGTTACTGTTAATCGCTGAGAAAAGCCGGTCTCAGAACCAGTACGAACCTCAACAAGTTTCTCCTCTAAGACCTTGATCTCATTGCGCACTGCAGATAGCTCTTGCTGACATGTCTGGAGTTCACTATTCCTTTCTTCTGTTGTTCTAGAAACGAAAAGAACAAAATTGTACGATGTTTACAAGAACTTGACGTTGAGGTTTACCTTGTGAGATCCGAGCACCTTTCCTTTTCTACATACAGGGAGTTTTTGAGATCTTCGTTGATAGCAGTTCTAAAAAAGCATCAGTGTAATATGAAGCAGATCTCAAGAAAGAGCTCACATTTGATCCACTTTTCTGATAAGTGCATCCCGTTCTCTCCTAAGCGCTTCTATCTCCTTTTTAGAGCTCTCAATTTCAAAACGGGAAGCACGCAGCTGCTCTTGTAATGTTTCCACACTGAACAAGGAATAGTCTTAATCACAATGAAGTTTGATACAAAACCGTCTTATGGGATGATATTAGAACTTACTTCCCATTGAGATCTTGAATCCTTTTTATTATCTCAGTAGAACGCCCTTGAGATGTTTTTTCGGGGAAGTCAAATAACTTCTTGGCACAAGCAGACTGCAGAGACTGATGGTCAGCCTGAACAAATAGCTTGACCAAAAATCACAACGACTGAAACACAATATGCGCAATACAAGTATTTTTTCCATATTCTTTTCCAGCAGGCAGTACTTCTGCTCAGCATTGTTCTTCTGCTCCTCCATTAACATTGACTTCTGGGCGCGATCACTGTAATTCTAGGCAATTACTTATCCGCACAACTTCCACACCAAATGAAATATGAACGTACCGTAATAAGTTCAAACGATCCTGCATACGACTATTTTCCAGTTCTAAGCGCTGAATTCGCTCATCCTTTTCGTAGTCGATTGAAGTGTTGGCGAATGTGCTGTTCAGAATCGATTCGCTTATAGTAGACTGCTCAGCTGGAAACTCAATAATGATCAACTCGACATCACCTAAGGCACAACTATTCGGTGGAGAGAAGTACCTTCAAGTGAGGCAGGAACAATAGGGGAAATGGAGTCACGAATTACGGCTTCTTCCGGCTCTGAAATTCAAAGCAGAAATTTGTGTCTATAACATCAATAGTCTGAAAATTCATCATGTTGAAAATTTATCAATACCTACTGATTGATGATGAAAGGTGTACGGTGATTAATGTTACCTTCAAACCTTGATTCAAATAGTTAATGATGTAATGCCCTAAATCACCTTCACCTAGCCCTTTGATGTTAATATAGATGTTTTGAAGAATGTTGTTGTTACTATGAAAGTCAACAGGAACTGCATTTCTGATGTTGACCTTGTTCCTTTCTTCAGGAGCAAGGTTTCCTTTTTACATTGACCACCAAGAAAAGCTGGAAGTTATCTTGAAGCTTGCTGGAGACACCTCGTCGGGCATTTTATAGGGAGAGCATCAAAGCGCTTGGCTATGATTTAGTCATTAGAAAATTAAATTGTCTATAGCAAAGACACTTTCGGTATCTCTGAGAAAATTCACGATAGCGAGCCCTACTGTTTCTCTATTTTATAGACTTCTGGAAACCTGATCTAAATGAGGATTTTCTTTTGAAAGAATTACACCTTCAAAGATCATTGCTGTGTCATTTGAGTCTGAATCGTCATTTCCATCATCGTCTGATATGTTCTTCTTAGTCAGGCTCCGCATGTATTTTTCCACTTCTTCTAAAAATAATACACTTATAATAATCGTAACGGAAGACTGCAAAACTTATGTTAGCTGTCACTACAATTGGCTGGCAGAAGGTGAACTTTCGATAAATCATGATTTTTTTTGAAATACGACCACACACTTGTAACGTGCTCACTACTGAAAATAGGAATAATGAATCAACCTTGTTCTTCTGCAGATCTGTCCAGCTCTTCTAAAGTAGTGGAAGCATTTCTCAGAAGGTCGCAAAGATTTTCTGAAAATCCAAACGATTTTCGAAAACGAAAACATAACCCAGAAAAAAATCAACCTTGGATATTCTGAGTGTTGCATTCTGTCGCTGTCCAAGCATGCGTTAACTGAAATGAGCAGAAATTTGCACATGCCAAAATAGGAAGTTAGAGCGAATCTAGGAATAAACAAGGTTCTTTTGTAGTAGTTCAGTTTCACTCTCTCCTGTGCCCGCAGCCAATTTTACGCTAGGAGATAAGTTGAGCACGAAGGTTACAAACAAGAAACTGCCGGAGTCCAGCATATTTTTCAAAATTCGCAACTCAATGGGCCCCTTTTTGTAGCTTTTCGGATGCTCAGTTTATCCATTTGTAGAGAGCTTTTTATTAGGATATTGAAACTCGACATACCGCCACTTTCATGTTCTCATTCAGCAATCCTCGACGACGAAGCTCCTTTTCTGCAGTCATCAGTCTTGCTTTTGCACATTGGAAATAACGATGAAATCGTGTGCTTGCTTCACGCCATTCATCTCGAGAATGCAAAACCTGATTAAAGAAAACCTTTTAAATAACAAAGTTGAATTCGTAAAAAAGGACAAACATTGTTAAGTTCGTTTTTAGCATTCTCAATATCCATACTGTGACTTTGTTTGATCAGTTCTTTCCTCAAACTTGATATCTCCGATTGCAGCTGATTAGCGTGATCCTTCGCACTCTCAAAGAAAAAAAAAACGGTAAATCACTTCACAACGACTGTATGAATAAACGATGATACCTTCTCGGATGCCTTCAGACGCTCTATACTGTTTTCAGCATTACTCAGCTGTCTTTTTAGTGAAACAACTTGCTCTCTCAGCTCCGACAGTTTAGCGTTGGTATTGTTTACTGAGATTAGTATAAGTGAGCGAACCACAAATCGATAAGAGAAAAGAAACTCGGCTTATCACCTGTACTCGTATTGAAGCTATCATCAAAATTTAGACGTTTAGATATTTGAGCAAGGGAGGGCGTGGCAATAGGTGTTGGTCTACGAAGATTGGATTCACTTCTTAACGGGAATGCTTTCCGAAATTTAGCTGTCATCTGCAAAAAAAGGATATTCATCAACTTTCAGATTTACTACCCAATTAAAGAAGAAAATGGAACGAACTTTTGCATTGAAGTTCATGGTTGCTTCTGATGAATGATCCTCGTCGTCATCAGATACCGTTCCTCCATGATACATCGTCTCCTAACTTGAAAGAACAACGATCTATGGGCACATAGACAGATTTCTGTTCAAATATATTTTCAATCGCAACAGGACGACTCTCACGTTAGAAGACACAAACCATTATTCTTTATGTACATTGAGCTGTGACATATATGAACTACCAATAAAAACAAACATTCTATGGATCGTTGTATAACCCTATTCATTTTAGGTTGCTACTATGGAACTTATTCACGTGGCTTGGTCAAAACTCAGAGTTTTATATGAAGCCACTTAACCTCCATAACGTACGTAACATAACAGAACATCTACAAAGTGTACACTTGATATCATCCGCTCTGGTTTTCTCGCTGACGTCGAGCTTCCTCGAAAGCCATCTGCTGTCTAAGGAACGATTCATATTCCTCTTTTCGTTTTTGAGCAAGAAGCTGCTCTTTAAACTGCGCCATTGCAGCATCTCCCTCTCTGCTGTCAGGAACCTTGTACCCTTTCATCTAAATTCAATCAAATACTGATCTTCAACAAAAGGATGAATTGCAGTCAACGTACAAACACTTTAAACAAGGAAGGTTGGTTGAAAAACCAAAACGCAGCAACAGGAAACGTGACCATCAGAGCGAATCTCCCTGTCTCAAGCTTCCAACCACCCATTTGTTCTGAATTTGCACATTAGCCTAGAGTAACACCTTCAATGATCAAGTAAGTCAATGCAAACATAGCAACTCTACCAGAACCACACAGGTGAAGAAATATGCAATCTTTACTTGACAAAAAATTCACCGGGAAATTGCTAAGCCAAGTTACATTATAAAAATGTTAGTCACAGCGCACAATGGATTAAAAGCTATTAAGTTAGCCATAACATTTCGAAGGCAATAAGTTACCCATTTTCGATCATATATTCCTAGAAGTATGAACAGGTTTTGGAAAATTTTAAACTTTCTCAATGATGCAAAGCTAGAATCGTTATGTTGTAACTACAACGAATTAGAAGAGCCTGTTAAGGAAAGGAACCAACTTTACAGGCGACTACCCATAGAGAAAGCCGTTTCAGAACACGAAAGCGAACGTATGGCATTAATTAATCGGATTCTCCACTACCACCTCGTTCAAAATGAACTTCAGAATCAGTATCACTGTCAGTTTCACTTCCGAGAAAATCTTCCCATACCACAACGTCTTCATCTTCATTGTCAGATGCTATGAGATCCTCGAAAAGACGGTTCACGCATTCACCCTGTAAAAATTCACTTCTATGAAGACCTTTTTCAATTAAATTTATCGAAAACTATAGGTAATGAAATATTATTGGGAACAAGCACAGAGGGTTTTGTAAGACAAAGATATAACTGCAAAAAAGATGAAAGACAAGGCTATCGGCGTTAACCACGCCGAATGAATGGCCCATGCTATCCAATTTTCTTTGATTCAACACATTTTGAAGCTTATAAAAGCACTCACCTGGTGGGGTTGGTTTACTTACCATAGAACTTAGAAATGAGACCCAGAAAAATCATTNTTTGAAAGCTGTTCATGAATTAGGGGATTGAAACTGCAAAAATGGTTTCCCAAGCAAGTTATGGAGGCTCGAAATTTCCTTGGCGGTAGTGTCAATTGGAAATGCGACCAAATGTCGACGAGGTGTAGTGGTAGTGTTCTCGCTCCACATGAGGAGGATGCGGGTTTGCTTCCCGTCCTATCTGAGATTTTTGCAAATAGTTCTTTCGTTGCACTGAAGGCTTCTAGACTGCTCTGACGCTTGTTCAACTGAACGCCTTATTTCTGCTCTCAGTTGCGGCTGTTGCACCAAATCAAAACAAAAGCGTCATGCACCGTAAATTGTATGGCTCCATTTTTTTACCTTGAATTTTACCTTAAACATACAGAAAGAAGCCAGAAGTATTAGATGCTTGCGAGGATCTCGACATTAATGGAAAAACCAAGAAACAAACAACAAAGAACAACGGGGAAAGGCGTGGAAAAAAATGGAAATTCTCAAAAAGAAGCAAGGAAGTTCCCAGGAAGAACAAGGTCGCACTAAACAAAAATTTCAAAACTTTTGATTTGGGAAACGAATTAACATGAGAAAATGAGCGGGGTAAAGCAGGAAGCATGAACTTGGAACTTAAAAGTCGAATAAACAGTATTGACCGTCCTGTAAATGATATTAGGAAGGGAGAGGGCAGTGTTTTCGTCCTCTCCCTTCCTAACATCACTTGGTACAATGGCGGCGGCTGGTTTATTTGCTTCTGATTGTGGAGCACTTAGTGGAGTGTATAAATAAACAAATAAATAAATAAACAAATAAATAGGGATTTCGATTATGATCCGATTTTCACTGACTTTGGACGTCTTATCAGAAAAGAAAAGAAATCAGATGCACTCCATGGAATTTCGTGGAACGCCATATAAGCTTTTGTCCTTTTCGATAAGACATCTAAAGAAAGTGGAAAATGGCTCAGAAACGTTTAGTTTTTCAGGGACTTCGGGGCGAAGTCCTAGTCAGCTCGAAATAATAGCGTAAGGTATGCAAGCTCACCCCTCCTTCATTGAAGTGGGCATATGGATCGTTTCTGTCCAGAATACGTTCACACAACCAGCAAAACATAGCATCACATTTTGTACACTGCATCTTATTGCAGCCATCGCTCTTCTAAATGCCAATAACGGTGAAAAAAAGGATAAGCAGCCTTCTAGGCAAAACACGACCTCAATTCGTACGCGACATCGTGGACAAGGTTTGCTATTTCCTTCCATCCATCCATCATTGAGCAAGTTATTAACTATATTCTGTAAAGATCGTTTTGAGGATTCGGCGCCAAAAGACGAGTTACACGGCAATCCACGAACAACTCTATACATACCTCTAAGTTCTTTAATCCACCAAACCGCTTGGCCATCTGCGCACGCCCGTTCTGATCGGCCGTATTCCATTCCTCGATTATACGTTTTTTATCCACTGAAAGAAAAAGAATTCTAAGAAGGAATTAGAAGGGGTCCGGGAACTTCTCCCCTAACACGGACACGGCGTCGCACACGCCGCACCCGCCGCCTATCGCAGGATTGCGATGGAAGTTTGGAGCGCGCAATTTGTGACGTAGGGAGTCCTTTAATTATTTGAATTGGCTCACCGCTTTCTTCAATTTCAATGCAGTCTTGATCGCCGCTTACTTAGGAGGAGTCATTTTAATTAATCAAGTCTAATAAACATGAAAACTAAGAAGAAACAGAAGAAAAGACGATAAAATCCAATAAAAAAGCAAGCTAGACAAGGAAAAATATCGCGTCCTATCGATCGGTGGGAGGCGAGGTGAGTACGGTAACTGCAGTGACATTTGCCGCATGCCGCAAGGGAGAATGCCGCGATAGGGGAGAAGTTCCGTTACCCAATTAGAAGTAAGAATAAGCACTCACCGCTTTTGAAATTGCAGTCGTCTACACCATGGTAAGCTCGAAAACATAGAACACAGAAAGAATATCCACACATTGTGCAACTGCCCAAGTTAACAGTTCTTAAAACACGAAACAACATCAATTAAATAGATCAATCACAGTACAAGTACAACTTATCTCAAACCATGGAATTGCTACTTTATTCCTCTTTTCCAACTATACCTTTCACTGACTAGAACGGGTTTTTGGCATGTTTTACGAGGACAGTTAACGACGTCAGGCATTTGACCCAAACTCTTTTCTAGCAAAATACGATCATACCGCTCAAACGCTTCCTAGAACAGCCTTCAAGTGAATGACATTGAACATCAAAAATTACAAGTCAACGCCACAGAGGGAGCAAAATGTCAATTTTACCTCGCCTATGACGTTACGTATAGTTTGTTCGGACGCCGTCGATTTACAATCGGAAGCTGGACATCCTAGTTCTCGAACCTGAATTCGCTTATTAGTTAGACTGCTGACTGTCCCTCTTTAAAATATGAACGACAAAAAAAAAATAGAACCTCCAAATTGTTCAGACGTTCAGCAAAGAAACCCGACACGCAGTCTTTGCAAAAAACATGCATACATGGATTGAATCGTACACATTGTGAACCCATCTTATTTTCAAAGCAAATCTGAACAAAACCATATTTGTCACTAAACAACACTCAGCATTGTACTGCGCTGGTCTAACCTCACAGTCATAACACCCGGTTTGAAAAAGCAAATCCTCTGATTTAGAGCTGGAATCCACTATTCGTCCTACCAACTCACGACCTTTAAGATTCTGTAAAATCATTCAAATCATCAATTACGAATGAGTACAATTCCCTTACCAGTCTAGTGTTGCTAACGAAAATTGAGTACGGAGACAGTTTAGGAATGGCAATTCATAACAGAGCTCTCTTTGGTCAAGGAGGTTCAAATTTCAAGACGATTTAGATCGCAGGATAAGAACATCTACTGAAGCGATGACACGGTTTGTAGAATAATTGTCGGTTGAGCGTTTCGAATTCTCACAGAGAAAGGAGCCTGGTTTTGGTGAGGCGATCCGGCTTGCATGACAGAGCCGAAAATTCAGTAGGCGCACTCGGCCCGACAATGGGTTGATGCAATGTCAACCCTCTAGCATCCTCATCAGTGAAAGTGTGATTGGGGAGGAACAGGGGTCACCATAGCAGTGTTACTACAACATGGAATTAACACGGTGTTATGTGTTACTCCGCGTTACATCAAGAGCATGGAATTTTCTAAGTGAGCCATATGAGAGAAGGAGCACTGGGGTGGGCAAGTTATCAGCATTTTGGTAATCATCCTACCCATACCGATGCTCCTACCCTTCTAAGGCTCCGTTAAAAAGCTACATCCTCTACCCAAAGTCGCATGATAACGCAGAAAAGGGCGAAGCTCATCCTCCACTCCGTCTCTCATAAAGTGTTAGTATAACACGGACTAATACGTAGAACCGCCTCAACCACACAAACCGGAGAAATCTGTGTGTGCATTTCAGGAATTTTATCACTCGCACCACTTGTGGAAATAGAGCATTCGTGCGTCCGCAGATGCGCGCGGAAAATTGCGCGATGAAATTGAGGTGATTGGAACGACTCTGGCGCCCATCACTGAGGCCGAAATTTGATGTGAAATATATTTGTAGAGCCAGCTGAACCTATTAATCTTTTTCCTTAGACCAGTGACCCAATGATGAGCGCCAGAGTCGTAAAACCGTCATAAATTTGAAATGAATTTAGCCGTGCGCATCCCCGGACGCCCAAATCTACCCATACCCGTATCACCCATTGATTTCCTCAAGGGGACACCGTAACGTCTCCACTCGTTCCTGTCGCGAGCCAGAGTAGTCCAGTGAATCATTTCCGCTCGAGGGACACGGGGCGAAGCATTCCTCTCGTTTGTAGATTTCGTGAAAAAGCCTGATCATAGCTTGGCGGCCATCTTGGTGTTCGTTTGAGGGCTCGAGGGATCCAGTCAGTAACCGTCGTGGAACGGTCGTCACGATATCGTATTACGTGTCCGATCCACCTGTTCTTCGATTTTTGGCGTAATGAACAGCATCTCTGATCTTTCTAAGTTGACGGAGCTTTGAAATTCCGATTCCCTTCTGCACCTGGGCGAATATGTGAATTCCAGCCATTGCCGTCTTCATGGCGCGTTGAATGACGCTGGGAGAATGTCCGTTGCGCGCGTCCGTCGAAAGTAGGTCACCCCGCCCATTTCGTGCACGTGGCTCCCCACTGAGGTCTCAAGATGACATTACGTTACCACCAAGTGTCAGTAGAGCATACGATTTGCATTTGTCGTCATCTTCTCTTTGGCTGACTGCAAGCGCAAATCGTATACCCCACTGACAACTGCGACACCTGTCAAGTATCGCGGGCTGACCCGCCGCATGCGACGGCTGCGGCATAACCTAGTTTCGACGGACGCGCGCAACGAAGCGCACACATGACGCTGACTGTATGCTCATCCTGGAGTCGTGGAGTCGAAATCTCTGATGCGTGTGTCAAAGTAGGAGGACCGCAAAAAGTCGAAAAGGTGAGCGAAATTATAAGCCACCAAAAAGTGGCGGGTCAGGTTTAGATTGCGTAAAGCAGAGCTATGTAAGTTGAGTAGAGCGCAATGAGGTAAGCAGAATGTTTACAGTGGTAATGCACTGGGGCTGTGCCGAATGCCAAAGCTCAATATCCAGAAACTCCGAAAATTAAAAGGCGATCAAGAGGTTGGTGGGTGACATGAGCAAGTAAATGAACAGGGCGTTTTCGAATAACGGTTCTTACCCGAACTTCATGACTTGATGCTAAATCGGATTGACTATAATTATAAACCTCTTTCCACCTAATATTACCAGCTATGGCAGCTCAAAATTCTGGACGGAAAGAATGAAACAAACACAAGCGAGAGAATAATTGAACTAGACATTGTAAACTGACTTACATTTTTTCTCCCGTAAGGAATATCATCGAGGCAAATTTCTTTCATAATACTTAATTCGCTCTTGACTATTTCGATAACCGTTTCGCAGCAAAAGTAGAGCACACCCATTCCGAGATTTTCCTCGCAAACTTCTTTGAGCTTCGATTCTATGTTCGATATCTGAAATTAAATTTACTCAGACTCCCTAATCAACGCAATAATTCTTTCATTAAGGTATTCACATAACACCAGACTTTTTGATAACGTACGTATTAAGCTAGGCTACGATACACACCTAAAGGAGTACTAGACCCTCTGTGCTTCTTTTTTTGAAAAGTTTGATAACAAGATCACACAATTAATTCATGTTAATGGCATAGCAGCATTTTACACAAGGCAAGACGCTTGAGTGCGGAGGAAATTAGGTATCCAAAGCCGAGTCGTGCGGTATCGGTCGATGACCGACGTTGACAACAGAGCGCTCAACGCTCCCCTCTGAAAGATGCCTTACATCTTCATCCCCATTACTTAGGGTCCAAGTCTCCTGAGGCGTAGGTCAAAGTAAGAGGAGAGCAGAGTCGAAATTGTGAACTTCTTCACTACACTTTCAACCTTATTAAATGCTCTCCCAGGTACGAGTTTTCTTCTGCTTAAAGGTACGGTTCACGATAAAAAAGGTTACTGAGTTCTTCCTTTAGGAATACTCAGCGCCCCCACGGGAGATAGAAGAGACCCTCTCACTCCCACAATCTCGGCGCTTAAGGCATAGTAGAAGCCCTGTTGCTGCCGTAATTCGCTTTCCCGCCCCTCGATCGATGCCATGTTAGACGAGTGTCGAGACAATACAGATTGCTATTATTCGTTCTAGGACCCACACGCAATCAGCTGGTCGTCGAGTGATGAGGCGATGTTTTCCTCCCATTCTTTTTTCCTCCGTTATTCTTTTTGCTGCCGCGATCCTTTTTTTCAAATTCCTACCCCAAGAGGCTGAAAAAGGTGAGTCATTTTTGCTGTTACTAAAGTCTTTTTTGCGCACTTATGCTTATAAGTGAATGAGTTTTCGCTTACCATAGTCTGTTATTCGCACCAGGACCCGCACGTACGCAATGACGCACTGTGCGTGGCTCGTCCAAACGCGCCACTCTCCCTCACTTTTCTGGTCTCATTCTAATCCAAACCCCTTTTTAACGGTTCTTCTAAGCCTTTTTTCACTTTGGAAACGCCGATGCACGCAGTTTCTTCACCTTCATCGCACTATTTTCGATCTTGTCTTCCATGTTTCATCATAATCTGGATTACCCAAAATTATCGTGAACTGTGCCTTCAACTCCGGAGTTAGTTCACTCATTATGATGAACTTTTGATCTAGTTACACGTAACTAGAGCATTCACATATTCATTCCGTTTCGTGAGAAAGGAGCATCAGGTACCAATATGTTTGCATGAACATCGTCTTTATTAAGTTCATTCGTAATCCAGTCGTTATAAAAGCGCTGTCAACAGCATTCTTTCCGCCTGCTCGATTTTATGAGATTCATATGAGCGCTAATCAAGAAGCGAGAATGCTACTAGCAAAATCGGTGGAGAGGGGGGTCGAAATGAAGAGAAAATGATGAGAAGGCGAGTGAAAATAGTGATAATGAATTGAAGAAAAACATAGAAGTATTTCTGAAGAAGAATGATGTAAGATATGGCTTGAGAAATTTATCAGAACGATGAGCAGAGATCTCTCGGAGGCAATCGCTACGCAAGTCACATAACTTACAAAATGTTAATTATACATATTTTATCGGGTGAATCACCCGGCCTTTCTGTGACAAAGTATTGTATGAACAACTGGCTATTCCCAGACAGTCGACATACGAATCCAATTGGCTCAACATTTCTCTTCACAAAACTTCAATCTCCAGGATTACCCATGGAAGGACGAGGTCGAGTGAAGCAACGTACCCGACAAATCCTCTGCCCCGGCTTCTTCTATCTTCTTTACTCCTCTCAATTCTAAATGCCCTAGGTTCAGAAGGGCAAGAATTGTCGGTCAAACAAACATCAACATACACTTGGCGAATTACAGAGTCTGAAGCAGATGTTGATGTACAAGAGATCATCTGCATCAAGAAAACGAGTTGTTCGTTGCTGTTGTGAAATTCCGCTGAAGCATGACGCGATCGGAAGAATGCACCGCTCTATATTAATCGGCGGTACCGAGAAACAATGTTTATGACTTTCAGGATTCGAGTGGTAATTTAAGCCCTTTCGTGTGATATTGAGAGATATTCAATCGCCACTGGCATTTCCTTAGGTGAAAAAAAAATTCAGGAAAGGCATACGAATTAAATAGAAATTCAAGCGATTTGAAAAAAAAAACAGTAAGTATTCACTAACCAAATCCTCGCTCATCCACTCGCATTCTATGTTTAACTCCGGAGCAACAGCCGGGTAGTCTCGTGGAAGCCGAAAAAGTAAATTAGCCGGTGGTAATGTAGTCAACGATACAGAATAGGGTCCTAAAATATTAAGACTAGGGCATACTTAGTGTAAAGTCAGTGCTGCTCCGCAGCTGATTGATAAGTTCTAAGTTCAAATGATGAAAAAAATGAACACATCCTGCCAACTCGCCGTTCGTACATCCATGATATTGAGTATTAATATAAATACGAAAATCTAAGAGAGCTCACCCACCTTTTTCACAAGTAGCGAAAACGGTGAGCGGTTTGGACAGAGGCTCTAACTCGATTGATATTCGACCCTTAATACAATCGCCTTCTTCGACAACAACACGCGACTCCTCATAGACACTACGAAGGGCCTCCAGTTCGTTGAGTTGGTCTTCCCGAGTATCTCCTGACATCCTACGACCTCTTAATAAAATTATCTCAGGTAGCAAAACTCGACAATTGTCAACTAAAAACTGTAGCTCGACAACGACGATAGCAGATAGAAATTTCAGAAACCATTGTAAGGCTTAACCTGTCACAATCATTTACAATTGAGCCGAGAATTTATGCATTCGAACATATCTGTACAAGATGGACAAATCATAATCATGGAAACGAGTACTCAAAAACAACAAGGAGTTCAAAAATCGCCGCTTCTTTACTGGAAGGTTTTCTTACTGTGGAGATCCCTCAGGATTTCGTCAAGGTCATCGTCTTCCAGTTTATTTTCAAGAGAAGGGATTAGCGCCTAAAGAGAATCGGAAAACTATTATGGTTTGCATTGCATTATGCCATAACCACAGATTAATTACTACAAATGATACCTTGGCCTCTTCTGCTGTCTCAGGGCACAAATTAACTATCTGGGCCACCTCAAACTTATGAAGTGGTTTCTGTGAGAATATTGCACGAACTGCTTTGATTGTTTCCCGATTTTTGAAACGAGATAATCGTCGAGCGTAGTTAAGAGTTTTGATGAAAACCTGAAAGGGCACGGAACAGTGTATAAGTGAAACATCCTTCATGCTAAGCATATAGCATACAAAATTAAATTGTAAAAAGCAGTCGAAAATTAAGTAGAATAACACGGCTCTCAGTGATCCAATCCAAGGGTCCAATTTTACCTAACACGCGAAGCCACTTAATTTACACATACACATTTGCCAAATATTGACACATCAACGTCATCTGGATTAACGAATCTTGCCTCTCGGAATTCGAGACGCTTAAAAAATGGGAATAGATGAAGCTTGATGAGTGAGAATGAATGAATCAAAGAATTCCAACTCGTTTTGTTCGTTCAGTCGTCCATCTATGACCTCTGAAAGACGGTGGCAATCGCACTTTGGTAGTCCAATGGGACACCCTAACAGGAAAAATTACACAGGAAATGGAGTGGATACAACCTATCCTGGTGCTCTGTCCTACTCTGTAGACATCACACGTACACCCTAATGCGGCTTAAGAAACCCTAGATGTAAAAAAGCTGAGACTTCCGAGACCCATCACCCACCACGCAACCACTCTTGACTACTGACTGACTTGCATTTAACCAGATGTTCGAACACGTTTCAGAAGAGAGTTCCTGAAACCAGAATCGAGTCCATTCTGACTCAATAAGAACCGAAATCGACAAACCATTACGAACCGGGTAGTTGCAGCTTGCAATGCACGCGGAGAAGTGTGTTTTATGGCTGCTTTCAGAATTCAACGGCACAACCAACGAGCCAACGTTCAACGTCCAGCCACGTCCGACCCACGGCGGTGTTAGCACTTGTTGACCACACTGGCGCGTGATCCATCGCTATTCAGTGTTGTCAACATATAGTCAGCAGCACCAGCACGTCAGACGCGCGCTCGCCTCATGCGTCGATGAAGTCTGAGAGCAGCCATTAAGGTTCCCGAAAGGTTTCTACTGGACCACGTTTCACGAAATACTTTTCTCAAGCCAAGAAAACTACCACCATACTGGAAAAGTTGACGTATAAACTCGGATGAAACATACAAGGATTGGCTCGGTAACATGATAAATTAATTGAATGGTACCTGCATTAAGGAAGTGAAGCGAAAGCGCAGCTGCAAATCGCACTAAATGCTATTCAAAAAAAAAAAAACAAGAGGAAGCCATTGACAGGAGAACATTGTGGCACTTGAAAAGGATCTTCATTAGAGCTTACCTCACTCATGTCCTCAATTTCATCTTTTGCTTCATTCTGCTGTCGTCTGTGCTCAAGCAACAAAAACACTTCCGAAGTTAGCAATGCATCACAGTTTTGCGATTCGAATTCTAAAATAGAAGGGAATATTTATAATGAAATATAAGTGCACTAGCATCCACGCCTGTGGACTCTTGAATGTAATGGACCACATAACAAAAGTACTACAATAACAGACAAGCGTAACTTGACAGTTTGGTATCTCTCTGTTCAAATTCATTCCGTAGCGCTTGGAAAAGCTTAAAAGAAGATCGCGCAAGCCGTGGGCTTGGGGGTTATTGACTAAACATTTTTTGTGAAATGGTGCATAAAAAAGACGAGGTAAGGCAAGCTAAAAAAATTCGAAGGTCCAAAACGAACGATCTAGTCAAGGGCGAAGTTTTGATCAAACCCTGACGTATAGAGTCTTGACGTGGTTGCATATTTGTTCAAACACATTCAAAGGAATCAGCATTGCGCAGGTACTGAAAACACCCCAAAAAATCGCAGCCTATACTGACGGAATTGTTAACTCAGAAAAACAGCTCGCAAATCTAGAAAATGCTAGATGTTAGCAATATTTTTTCCAAATCCACGACGTATTAGGTGGTAAGGGTTTGCAGTCTGCATCAGTATCATGCTCCTCACGAACACTATGGACTCCATGAAGAAAAGATCGCTTGATTTTGCAGAGTATTCAGACCGTAAGCAATTCGACTTTCGAGCAATGTTGAACATAAATCAATGAACTATGATTCAAGAGCATATGATACTTCAAGAGACTAACAGGTATCACTCATCGCTTCAACTTTTTCACTTTCCTCAACAAATAAGCTCACTTCCATGTCTACTAAAGTTTATGAAACAAAAAGAAGATAAGCCTAATAAGGATTTAGTTTTGCGAATAGCAAATCGCCCCAATTTCAAGCTCATTAAGTAACTTTACCGGATTCGCTCTTTAACATATAAACTAGTCTTTCAAATATGACAGGCACTTCATTCTTACATGAATGAGTCGCTTGTTTTAAACAAATTGTCTAGACTATCGGCATATGCCTCTGCAATAGCTTCTTGAAAGCTCTGCAGCATCGGTATAGATGATTTTTTATGTCATAGTTTATTCTTTTACATGATACGCTTTCTGAATTTAGTTATCGGATTTAAAGAGGAATAGAATTGCTTTGCTTCTTAACGCCACTGTCACACTTACCTTTTGGAAACCTCATCTCAGTAGCATCCTCCTCAACTGTATCTTCTGCGGTTTTCCCAGTAGCCATGTTGGCTGGAAAAGTTAATGTGAACGATAACAAAGCTTACGTAACTTCAGATGCCGAACGAAGTACATAGATGTGATGAGAATTAGATGTCGACAAGAAAGAAAAGGGAAGATGCTCCCGCTGAAGTATGATCAATGTCAAAGCACACAAAAAAGCTACATGTTGTTGAACAGACATATAATGAAGAGTCGGAGATCTTCTTAGCAATCATTTAGCCTTTTTGATGGATGTACGAAGGTCAGGCCTAAAACCGCTTACATATCAGCGGAGCGAAAACACTATCAAACGCGAAAGTTTGAATGGACACATTAAAAAAAGCGAGCACGACGGAAAACAACGACGAAGCCAAAATGTCATTGGAGCGCACAAACTGCTGCCCNCCCATCAGAGTTCCTTTACATTCCTTTCTACATTTCAGTGACACAAGACGGAGTATTCACCTCAATAAATTTAACATGAGTCTTACCCAGAAAATCAACGAATCTTGCTCTCCGAGTGCGAGCCACAGCTAGGAACGATCCGAGCTCGAAGTAAAACAGAAGAAGATGCAAGGTTGCTTCTAGAAACTTTGCAAATAACTTCACATCTCAAGTTTCTTCAGAAGATAATTGATTGCTCTGTAAGTGAAAGCGTCAAGAAATCGAAAATGGATATTTTACATAAGGAATACAGTAAGCTGGTGCAGAAATCCCCGCACCGCTGACCTCATAGTTCTGCACAACACATGTGTGAATATATCATTTATCAGTATATGCAGTAAATAAAAGAGATCTGTCCTGTCGTCTGGAGTATAGAGATCAGGGAGTGAGTAGTCGAGCTGCTATAGGTTGGAGGTCGTGGGGCCCCGAGGTGATAAGCAGGAAGTGCAGTCGCAGTAGACGGCGAGCTTGATAGTCGGGGGGAGACGTTGTCGACTGTGCTCCTCGAGAGGTTGAGGGCGAACCTTAAATACGCGTGATGAGATGAGTCATGGATACAGTGAGCAAGAATTCCCATGCACGAGGTTAAGCAATGTTACACAATGAGAGGAAAAACAGCTCTTTTTGATCTCTATTCCCTCTTTCGACTAGAACGATACCCAGCTGATAAGATCTCACTTCCCAGACACTTCCTTTCCAGACAGCTAAGTTTCCCACGTACTCTTTGGATTACAGTCACTCCTCCACCTACAGACTTGCAGACTCTTACAATACCACTACAGTTGCCCGCCAGCGAGCAAGGAGCACGAACGAATTTGGCTTGCATCGCGGACGTCGTTGATCAACATACGGCAAGAGAGCACTGAAACGTTGGTAGGACTACCTTGAGAGTATCTCGACAGCATAGTTTGCCCAATCCGCCTCTACCTTTCACTCTGCCAGTTCACGGTCGCGCGCGAAAGTAATGGTGGAGGAAACGGAAGTAGCTCTGTGGATGATGACTCCCGGCAAGGCTACTGATCCAGATGACTTAGCAGGTGATAAGTGGAGATGGTGGTGGCGGAATCCAGACACCGCGACTGACGGACACCGGACTGACTGACGACGAGAGCTGACGAGTTCCTCAATCAGGCGGCGGCAGAAAAGAAGGTGCCTGAGAGTTGACAACGTAGTGCCACCGTTCCGATTTGGAAGAAGAGGACAACCCTGCTGGCTATCGCCCGATTCGCGTATTCTCGCACAGTATGAAAATCTTTGAAAGAATTGTAGACGGCTGTGTTCAAAAGCGTCTAGCTCGGGAATGTCGGTTCGTCTCCGAGCACCACGACGCAACGCATGCCGCTAATCTCTTGCTAGAAAAGCATCAAGAGAGACAAAAATCGGTGCATCTCGACTACTCAGATTCAGAAAAAATCTTTCGATTGTTGTCGTTCCAAGTTATGTGACATGTTCTGCGACGGCACGGAGTTACTGAAGAACTGCCTGAATGGGTGCGCATATCCTAGAACGCAACAAAATGTACATGCTCGTCCGTGGCACTTTGCCAACTATTGCAAGGATTCGCTGTGGGACCTCTATTGGTACGATACCACGGCTTGGCCCCGCCCCTAACCGAAACGCAGTGTTAAGTAATAGTTCGATTAGGGTAAGGGTGAAAGAGGGTGGAACCAAGTTGGAAGGTTGAAGGTTAAAAAAAACAAAGATGGGATCATTTGCTTAGATTGAGGTTCATTGCATGCGCATAAGCACGTGGAGGTAGCAAGTACCAAATAATGGACTGCGTTAGAACAAGCTGAACAACACACGGAAGTTCCACAAACACATAGAAATTCACAAAGCGAACAACAGAAATGAATCAGTCTTACTTGCTTAGCTGTGTAATGTTACCA